GGGGGGGTGGGGGGGGAAGACAAATAGAATTTTAACATTAAGGGGGGAAAATAAAGCACAGCTTTGTACGAGAACATGGCAAAGGAGAACAGAGGCTGGGCTCTGTAAGACAGTAGAACAGCAAGAGTTCTGTCAAGCGGATGGGATCTGGTCTAGAGAGCAGGGGGACGTTAGCAGTAGTCCTGAGGTTTGTTGCCTGCTCTGTGACTTGCTTTAGTTACCTTCTGCCACTTGCTCTGTGTCAGTTAAAATGCATTATTGCCACTGGGATTTGGAGGGAGCCAGTAGTCAGAGTTACTGTTGTAATAAAAAAATCAAAGGGCGGTGGGTTGGGCCAGATACTGCTGGCATCATTTCAGTGGGTAAAAGTAGGAAGAATTTAATCTGTTCTTCCTAAGCAGAAATTCCCAAACAAAACGAAGTGGCTTGCACATTGAGGAAGTGCAGATCATATAGCATATCTATTTTCCTCTTGCTTTAAAATGTATATGAACCTCAGTATGCCTAACAGAAGTAGCTATTGCGTTGCAACACGGAGGTTCAGTAGGAGCTGGAACGGAGACTTCATTAATGAGAATTCTGGCTCATATCCTGGCACCACTGGTTGGACAAGGATATTGTTCATTTTAGCCCAAGAGCGAATTTCTGGAGTTGTGTCATGCTGGGAGGGGGAGGGGTATCCCGACGTGCATGCTTTGAGCTGGCCCTTAATTGCAGAATCCCAGGCAAGAGTCCATAACATCTCGTTGGTGGAGCTCAGTAGCTGGAAGCTTGGCAGGTGTTTGTCTGCCTTTCTCCCATCGGCAAGTGTGCTCTGACAAAAGGAAATAGCTCTGGGAGCTCCAGGAATTAAGCAGTCTTATTTGGCTAATGCCTTCGTGTTCCTCCCTGGGAGCGCGCATATGGCAAACGTGCCGGCGCACGGCTACGGAGCAGAGAGCTGCAGCCCCGCGGGCCTGGGCACAGCCGAAGCTGCTCAAGGCTGAGAGTGCAGCTGAATCGGGGGTCGCCCTGTGCAGAGGGGTGGCTGCAGAGCCACGCCAGGCTAACGGCGTGTTGTGTAGCTGCCTAGATAGCAACACGGCACAGAGACAAGTTGTTTCTGGCTAGGAACAGGCTTGCAAACCAAATGGAGTCTGATGCCACTCAGTGAATGGAGAGCTGTAGGGCTTCATTAGAGGGGGGGAAAAGGTTAAATGAAATTGACTTTGTGCATTTTTCCTGTGTGCCACTTCTTATTTCCTCTTGAATTGGTTGTTATTCATAGAATCATCTACAGGGCCATGAGAGCTTGGCCCGTGGAGATTGTTCATCTCCAGCTTATTAGCAGCTCCAAGCTGAGCACTGCTGCTAGCAGATGCTTTTTGAAATTACCTTCCAAATGTATTTCTTATACCTGAAATGTATGCAGTTGGTGCTATCACCTGTTGAGAGCTGCCTGAAGACGATACCATGTCTCAGTCTTCCCAGAGGCTTGTCCATGGGCCTGGTGCATTCTCATTGATGTCCCAGTGCCACCACACTGAGTGTTACAGAAGGGAGGGACTCTGTTCTGCAGTGGCATAGCTGAGACTGCATCAGGCCTTTCCTTGAGACCTCTGAAATGGCAACAGGGCAGGTTGGCATGGGAAGAGCCTGGGCAGATGGATGGATCTGTATCCAAACACATGGATACAGATGGAATTTTCACAGAAATTGTTGGGCTTCTATGACTGAGTTATAACCAGTCAGTAACTGGTGGATTGGGATCCGTAACTAATAAAGGGACACCTATTTATTTGCTTGTTTTGTTATTTTACTTTTTGAATTTGAGTAATGACGGGTTTGGATTCTGTCACAGACTGTTAAGTTTTGTGAATTAACTTTGTGTCCCAGTAACTTGTATTTGGCTGCAGCGGATTTTCCAGGAAGTGGTCTCTGAAACCGTTTTTAATTTCTGTTGGCAGTATTGGCCCTGCAGAGCTAAGTTTGGTGGGCGTTAGCCTGATTTTCACAGTTCTCTCGCTTTACTGGGAGCCTACAGAAACCCACTGAAATAAGCAAGTTGATTGTTTTAAAAGCCCCTTGCTGACAGATCTGTAGAGCAGTCATTTCATCCTGAAGTGCTTTTTCTCACTGCCACTATGGAGACTCAGACACAGCAGTATATGGGGGGATCTCGTGTAATCATGCATCTGCTTATTTTGCCCTTTGCCTTTTAAGATCTTACAGGCCCTTGGAAAATCATACCACCCTGGCTGCTTCCGCTGCGTGGTGTGTAACGAGTGTTTGGATGGAGTCCCCTTCACTGTAGATGTGGAGAACAATATTTACTGTGTCAAAGACTACCATACGTAAGTACGCAAATCCATTGCATGCTTGGAAAAATTATGGTAGTTAAATTATTGGTATAGTTATAAGCCTTGTGGTAGATAAAAAGGGTCATTCCTACTTGCTCAGGTGTCCCTCAAGTGCTGCTCTCACATTTTGCGTTTGTAAAGTATTTTAAAGTTATATTAAAGGTCACTTCATGGGTGCAGTGTGGCATATAGTGGCCAGCTGAGGCTGAAAATCAGTTGTGTCAGAGGATGTACTTCTCTGGTGGCTGTTCCTCTACTTCTTTCAGGACTTTCAATACTAATTAGATCAGGCTGATTCTGCAAGTGAGGGTAGGTTCTGCTGGCTGCTTCTAAGAGTCGAGGTTCTGGTAGTGCATGACACTGGCGAGTGTACATTAGGTTAACCTGGACTGGACAGCAGACGTGTCATTAGCAGCTAGCATTAGAATGATTTTAGCCTCACCTGACAAAAAGTTTTGTGGTTTAAGTGATTGCTTTTGGAATCCTTGCTGCTCCCGCTCAAAGCAATGTGAATGCTCTTCGCTCCAGTCAGCCAATAGCTCAGCTTATGCAGCAAGAGTAAATCACTCTTGAGTTCGAACTCAACCCTATTGGTACCAAGTTGACCGTGTTACAAGGACAGAGTGAATGTTGGCCCAGTGATAGTTGCAAAATGCAGCTGTGGATAATAAGACCAGTTGATGTATTTGGTTTAAGTAGATCCTAGCCACAATCAGCCCCTCTCCTATTTAGCATGGTTATGTCTTCCTGATGTCAGATGGTGACAGTCCCTAAGTCAGGAGCTGCCTTGCAGTCAAAGCAGCGAGTCTCTGGAAGAATTTGAATGGTTTTATGAGTAAAGGAAGGTAAGAGAAAGGGCGTATGTGGGAATAGGGCTGGATTCACTGTGCCTAGGGGTCAGGAAGACCTAAGCAATAAAGCTGGGGTAGATTGGCCTCTTCCAAATTTCCTTTTCCCTGAATATCATCAAACATGTAGAGGTGTTTCAAACCCTGTGTATCTACGTTTTGCTAAAAACAAGGCATGGTTAGAATAGCTTGCTCAGTTCTACTTTTTGAAGAAGCTTTAAATGTGATTTGAACACTTTCTTCTTCTACCCTAGGGTTTTTGCACCAAAATGCGCTTCCTGTAACCAGCCGATCCTACCAGCACAGGTACATGTTAACATGCGCTGTCTCTTTAGAGAAAACAGCTCTTGCCATAAGAACACTTTCAAAAAATGTATTAGATGCTTTCCCTCCCTCTTCCAGAAGCTGTACTATGTCAGATACTAAATTAACTATAGTGTGGCAGTAATGTCACTCCTAAACGTTCCCAGAGGTTGTAATAGTCATACTACTTACGCAGCATAGTGCTTTGTATCTTTAGGGTGCTTTCCAGGTCTTAATTATGCTGTTATAAATCTCATTTAATTGAAAGCCCTGACTGGGGCTCCAAGAATAACCCAAGAAGTAAAGCCCTGTTTATTTTTAGAATCTCCTGTTAGCTCAAGTAGCAATTTTCCTTGTCTGCCACATTTGCATTTCTGGTGTGGATCTGTTAAGATGCCCAAACCTGAAAAGTCATCTGAGGGTTGCCCTGACCCCGTGAAAAGGCCACACAGTCTGTCATCCAGGGCTGGCAATGCAATGAAAGTGCTTAAAAAGCAGAAGAAAAGTTGGCTAAAAGGGAAGCCAGGTGAATGACCTGCTGGTGACCTCAGCCTGTCCTATCCTGACCATATAGTTAGTGTGATAAGGCTTCTGCATTAAGACATCCCTTTCCTGCCTGCCCCCAGTAAGACATCCCTCGTACTCCGGTGGGCGCAGGACCCTCTGAGTTCCCGTTGCTGAGGTCCCTGACCAGCTCATTTGTAAGCAAGGGCCTCAGCACCTCCCTCCTTTCCTCTTGTGTTTATAGAGCCAGAGCTCGTGTCCCGTAAGCTGCTGTGCCCTAGTAAAGCCTGTGGCTAGAGCCTCTCAGCATGCCCACCTCCATCGCTCTGCATGTTACTCTCTATCTGTCATTATTATTTCTGTTAAATGGCCAGGTCTCACATAATTAAAAACTTTTTATAAAGGCTGAGCCAGAACTGCTTGTCCTGGTGATGGGATGTGAGGAGGAGGAAACCTCTATGTAAATTTCACTGGATTTGTGTCTTACAAAAAGACTTCTTTAAAAAAAAGGAAAAAAAAAAAGCAGTCCTACTGCTGACTCATCTGATGGCTAGCAGGATAGACTCCACGTTATTTCCCATGGAGGTTTCTTGGGTTAGTTCAAGTCTAGCAGTGCAGGTACTAACTCGCCCACAGCTTCTCTCAGACATAGCCTACGTCATATCTGATGCTCTAACCACACCTAGAACTGGAAACAATGCAAGGCAACAAATTTAATGAGCTCTGTCTTCAGAGGCTTCAGAGTGGATCAGGAAAAGAGTCTGTGAGGTTACTAGAAGGGTATGGGCTGCTCTGCAGGGCCTAGGGCTCCGCCAGGAATTGCACAACTCCACTGCATCCACCCTCACGCTGAGGTTGCCTGTGCACAGTTACCTGCCAGACTGGTATGTAAATCCCTATGGGGTACATACAGTGACATGTACATGTCCAAAATAGCTGTGCAGCAGATGGTTTGAGGGGATACACATCCTGGAAAACTCAGGCCAGGATGTCTGCAAGGAAAAGTTACCCAGTCAGCAGGTCATAGTTTTTGGCTGGTAATCTGTTCAGATCCTGGGTGCTCTTGGAAAATTACTGCATTTCAAGACTGATTTGTCCCTTGAGGATGAAGTTTTGGCTACGCTTCCCAAATGACCTCTACAGCTTAGATGTCACACACCTGTGCTGCTGCTAAACAGCAAAACCAGTGGTGCGGTGCTGTGCACCAGAGGACAAAACCCTCGGTGGTCACAGAGCTCTGCTCTGCGGAGGAAGAGGGGATCCCTCAGGGAAACAGCTCTCCAAAGCAATGGGTTGGGCACTGAAAGAAGATTGAGGAAACCCCACTTACAAGCCCACTCTTACCTTCTCTCTGCTTCCCCAACAGGGCTCTGAGGAGACCATTCGGGTGGTGTCAATGGACAAAGACTACCATGTGGAGTGCTACCACTGTGAGGTAAGCATCAGGCCCGCCCCATGGCAAGGCTTTGCAGCCTTGTGGTAGGTGCCTGACTCGCACCCCCGGGCGCGCTCACTGGCTATTGCACGCCTGGGCAGGTAGGGCTCTGCCCCACGGCTCCCGGAGGCAGGCAAAGGGATGAGTGCTAGCTGGGCTGCAAGTGGTGCTGCCACCTCCAGTACCAAATTAGTTTCTTTTTTCCCCAGTATATTAACTTCAAAAGCTGTGTTTGGTTGTTTGGGTTGACTTTTTCTCAGCATTTCCAGATGGGGAGAGAACAAAGAATAGGTGCTGGTTCTCTTTTCTCCTGATCTCTGGGTACAGTTTGTGTGGCTTTGATCTGAGGCGACTTGAATTCCCAGTGCCTGTGCTGGGAAGGAGCCTCACTCCTACACTGGAAGGCTTTTCTAGGGAATCTGTGTTTTTCCATGCTGAATGAATATTGATTCTTTACTAGAAAAGAGAGGGATACCATTGACTTTCTGTCACTTCTTGGGAGTAGTTTCTTTTTGTGCAGACCATTTAAATGTGTATTGGGGCAGATCAAATTGTGGGATTAGTGCTCTTGGTTCGGGGAGGAGAGCGGAGTTCAGTCCCAGCTCTGTATGCAGGAGCATGAGGAGGGAAACAAGCTCTTTGATTGGGGATCAACCCAAAACTTCCTTTTTGCTGTAGGTTTGGCGCTCTGATGTAATATGTAAATATCCACACAGATCCTACCTGTCTTAGCACCAGAGGCAAAAATGCAGCAATGCTATCTTCCATGCACTTTTGCACAAAAAGTTTTTAACAAAGAGACTTCCGACTGAGGGAGAAAATAACAAAATTCAGGGCATCTTGAAACGTATATGAACGTAAATGTAAGGAAGACCCCATCCACTCAGCTATCTCCTTCCAACAGCGATACCTGATACTCCATCATTTTCTATTAATTTTTAAAGATAAATTGGCACAGGAAATCACAGCATTTTGGAGAGCTGTATTTCCCTCCTCCTTCTTCCCCCATCTATTGCTTTGTGCAGGCTTCACCTAAGATGACAGCTCCCTCCCCTTCTCTCTCAGGCTATTGACTTTATATTAGAATGTCCCCATGGGGGTTTATTTTCAGTTCTGTTTCAGTATTCATTTCCCCATTCTCCTTCCAGTTTGAGGCAAATCAAGCTGCCTCCACATCTGCCCAGAATGGCAGAGTGCATTTATGTACAGAAATCAGGGGGTTAGCCATGTGTTAATGGGGTAGGTTACCGCCTAATGGTCTCAAATCAGGCTCTCAAACTGTACACACTGGGTCACTCCTGTCTCCCAACACTGCTAGAAAATGTAGTGCCAGGGTTTTGAGGTATTCGCGTGGAGATTTTTGCAAAGGGTATGATGACTTACGCAGCCACTTCTGAAATGCCATCAATGTCATCATCATCTGGTGGCCTTGCAAAGTCAATAGTCAGTGTGGAAACTGCTGCTTTTCTGTATCATCTTGTGCAAGTGCGTAACTTCTGCTGAGAAGTTCAACCCAGTTTACAGATGAATAGACCCCCATTCTAAAATTGAAATCCACTGAGAAGGCAGACTTTCCATTGCAGAAAAGGATACAACACCTGGCACATCTGTAGGGTATCTGAAATTGTCAAATTCTAATGAGGAATTTAATTGTAAGTTGTACATAAAGGACTATAACGTTATTATATAATATACTGTAACACAAAGAAAGCTACCTTAGCAGAAACTTTGATTTAAAGCCTCCCTAAACTAACACTCCAGTTTTAAAGCTTACTTTAAACCCCATTTTTCATTCTTATTTCAGCATTGGTCACAACAACCCCATGCAGCGCTACAGGCTTGGGGAAGAGTGGCTGGATAGCTGCCTGGTGGAAAAGGACCTGGGGGTACTGGTTGACAGCCGGCTGAATATGAGCCAGCAGTGTGCCCAGGTGGCCAAGAAGGCCAATGGCATCCTGGCCTGTATCAGGAATAGTGTGACCAGCAGGAGCAGGGAAGTGATCGTTCCCCTGTACTCGGTGCTGGTGAGGCCGCACCTCGAATACTGTGTTCAGTTTTGGGCCCCTCACTACAAGAAGGATGTTGCATTGCTGGAGCATGTCCAGAGGAGAGCAACCAAGCTGGTGAGGGGTCTGGAGCACAAGTCATACGAGGAACGGCTGAGGGAACTGGGGTTGTTTAGTCTGGAGAAGAGGAGGCTGAGGGGAGACCTGATCGCCCTCTACAGCTACCTGAAAGGAGGCTGTAGGGAGGTGGGGGTCGGCCTCTTCTCCCTGGTAACAGATGATAGGACGAGGGGGAATGGTTTGAAGCTGCGCCAGGGCAGGTTTAGGTTAGATATTAGGAAAAACTTCTTCACTGAAAGGGTTGTCAGGCTCTGGAATGGGCTGCCCAGGGAGGTGGTAGAGTCCCCATCCTTGGAGGTATTTAAAAGAAGGATAGATGAGGTGCTTAGGGACATGGTTTAGTGGTGGGATGGCAGGGTTAGGTTAACGGTTGGACTCGATGATCTTAAAGGTCTTTTCCAACCAAAGTGATTCTATGATTCTATGATTCTATGATTGTAAAACTCGAGGATTTTAACTTGAGCTATGAAAGCTGAAAGATTGTATTTTGTGTCCAATTAAAAACTTTGCATCAGTTTTCAATACTAAAAAGACCTGTATGAGCAACTTGTTCAGGGTTTTTTTTTTTCTTTCTATAAAACGCGCAGATACATACTCAGAACCTCTGGTTTGTCAGGCCTGGAATGATTTTTAAATATTTATTTAACATACCTGAAACATCAAACCCAAGCACAAAATTGCCATGACTTTCAAATGTCTTCAAAATTATAACAATGACAACTAGGAACCAGGATTGTCTCTATTGCAGTGTATATCATAGTCAGCAGGCAGGATCACTGTTTATTGTTTTTATTTATGTTCCCCCACTGTTGTTCACCCATGTTGTCCCTGTAGTTGTGTGCCAGTCCCAGAGGTACTGACATATTTCCACTGAAGATGGACCATTGGCCTTGAAATCTTTAATTATTATTTTTTAATTCCAAATTAGAGAAAGTGCAGCCCTACTTCAGAAGTAAAATGTGTCTCATCTCCCCCTCTTCCCCACTCCTCTCATTCTCTACTTTACACGCCCCTGTTTCTTGCTCACTGCCCTGTTGCAGAATTAGCTCCTCCTCTGTTCTTACCTCTTCCGGGTTGTGTGTGTCAGGGTCAGCCCTTGGCCTGTTTTTGGCTGATTGACATCAACGTTTATTAGATGAAGAAGAGATCAGAATGGGAAACAACAAGGAAAAAAATGCTGGGCACCACTCTAGCCTGTCCTGTTTAATTTCAGTGATGTCATTTTGCTTAATATGAGGTAGCCAGGGTCTACTCACCGAAAACTCTTTAGGTTGGTGGCTTTGGAGGCGTGGGAGGGAGCTCTCGGGGTTATGCGGGGTAGATGGGCATTGTTGTGAGACGACCTACCTGAATCACACACTCATCTGGGATGTTACGTGTTTCTTCCAGGACTGTGGCTTGCAGCTCAATGATGAGGAAGGCCATCGTTGTTACCCGTTAGAGGGCCACTTGCTCTGCCACGGCTGTCATATCAGGCGCCTTAATATTAAACTGCCGTCACATCCACCTCCGAGCTATCCAATGCATGTCACAGAACTCTGAAAGACATTTCCATTACCAATAAGCTGTTTGAAAGAGAAGACAAAAATCTAAATACGACTTTCCTGTTCCTTTAAAGATGAGATTCCAGTAATAACCATCTAAACCAGCTATTTATTTTTTAAATCAGAGGTGAGGGGTCCTTTTCTGATCTTGTACATATGCATTCTTTTATCTAGATGTTTTCACTGAGGTACTGTCTACTTGAACAAATAATTCACCACTAAACTGTAACTGTAAACAGCAGCATTTCTAAAAGCAATGGTAAAAAGGGCTGCTCTGCACTCCATACTCGCTTTCCTTCAGTGGACATTTTGCCCAAGGAGTGTAGAATTACTTTCCAAAAGTTAGCACCTTATCATATTGCAGCAAGCGTGATAAGATAAATGCTAGCATTTTAGCTAGTTTTGTTGAATTCTGGTCTTAGAGAATGCAGTCTCACATTTTTTAAAACTTAGACTCAACAGAAGTAGTGAAACGGAAGCAAACAAGGGGTTTTAGCAATGACAGTTTTCAGCATGAATTGAATTATGGCATTCCGTGAACAAGCATCAGGCCAGCTTTCCATCCTACAAGGTTCCACAGTCATCCAAAGACTTTTTATAGCTTGTTAAAGAAATACAGCAAGGATTTCATATAAAAAACACGTTACGGAGGAATATATCCAAAAGATTGGCACATGCAGGGTCATAGCAGTTGCAGAAAGTTACAAACCTCTGTAATTGCTTGCCATGTACAACTGTAGCCATGGTTTCAAAATGCATTCGTATCAACTCGATTTGGCACTTACTAAAGAATTAATCTTTTAAACCTGTTTTTTTTGTGTAATAGGGTTAGCAGCCCCTTTCTATGCAAAGGTACACTTGTCTTTATACTACTTGTTCTATACAAGACTTCATGTTACCAACTGCTTTATGATTGTATGTTGATACGTTATTAAAACAAGAGGGGGGCAGTGGTTTTTTTGTATTATCTTTTCGGCTTTGTGTTCTTTTCTAGATGTACTTTTGAGCTGATTACGGTGATTGTCTTCATTGGAAAACAAAGTACAGTTTAGCAGAAATAATAATTTAGAGAGCCAGACCATTGAAACATTGGTATTTTGTAACAAGTATTAGATGTACATAGAATGTACACACTTCCATATTTTGCATAAGCTTTTACAGTAACCTCAGAGCTCTGGGGAAATATATGTCTTCCATATAGGAAGTTAGATGAATCTTTTTTATGGTTTGTTTTCTACCATGTGTTGATGATTTACATGCAAATCACACATCTGTATGTTTAAAAAATTCCTTGCATTCTCATGAGAATTGATCCAGCCTTCCTGAATTTATATTTTAAATAAATCCATCATTGCTGTCTTTAACTGTATCCAAAATTACAATAAAATAAAATTCTTCTGCTCCAGAGGAAGTGGAAATACCAGATCAGATTCTCCGCATGTGTAAATTGGGACGTTTCCATGCCAGTTCTCAACACATCGAGAATCTGACCGATCCATTCAGAAATGATCCCACGTTAAATTCAGCACACAGGCTGATGAAATGACTTGACTTACTTGGTAACACCATTGCAGTTCAGTTTCTTATGCTCCATTGATTTTTTGAAAGCCATTTGTGGTGCTCTTGAAAAGTACAAAGAGCATCCAATGGACACCAATTCCTAAGTGGAATAATTAACTCCCTTAACAGAACTTTTTGAAAATCTGGAATT